AAGGAATAGGGTTCAAGGACTACCTACATGGACCAATGGATGCAGGAACAAAGCTTAAGGTCAATTCAGGACCGGGGGATATAGACCTTCGAGAACGTCGACGAAGACATAGGACGGTAGACGACGAAGACGACGACTTCAAATGTGATTGCGGCTTCGAATGCGAAGACCGTGTTCATGTAGTCGCGGAATGTCCGTTGTACAAGAAGGAGAGGGAAGTGTACGTGACTGAGCTGGGAAAAATAGATGGAACGTACAGGGAGATGTTTGAGGCATGGAATAGAGAGGAAAGGACGGTAGCTGTACTGGGGCATAGGAGGTGGGTTGAAAAGACGGGAAGGGATATCGTTGGGATAGGCAGAGTAGGGACGATTTTATTGAGCCACCTTCGGCGAAGTAGAAAGGAACGATTGGCCATCGGTGATCGGTCCTGTGGGAACAATGCTCTGTCCTCTCTAGGACGCGTGGTCAATGGTCTAACCGCTAAGGCATGCAAAACATAAGAGTACGCCCCCCCCCCCTCCTCCCGCACGCGGCGACACGGCAGTTGGAGGAGGCTCTCGCGGCGTCGAAGAGGGAGGCGTTCGGCCCGGAAGGCGAGGCTCAAGAGGACGAAGCGGCAGACCTCGCGAAGGCAATTTGTTTGAGCCAGGAGGGCGGCGGTGGCTGTAGCGACGAGTGGGCGTGCGCGGCGTGCACGTTCATCAACGAGGCTTCCGTTGTCGTGTGCGGCATGTGCGGAACGCCGTTGCCAGAGCCGCTGCCGCCTTCGTCTCCGGGCACCCCTCCTGCGGAGACCGATATGAGCAGCGTCGCTGGCGACAGCGGCGGTGGTAGCGCCGACGGAAAGAGCGGGGAGAGATGCGGAGTACAACGGAGAGGATCCGGGGCAAGAGGCGGGGGCGACGACGAAGCGGTCGTGGCCCTGAGCGATGTCCGGCAGCGGACGGCGCAAGACGCTTCGCCGCAACCGCAGCCGCCGGCGCCGCTCGCAAGAGGCGACGACGTCAAGAAGAAGCAACAAGAGAGCCCGCCACAGCCGCCACCGGAGCAGCCGCAGGCCCCGAGGGTCCCCAGGAAGGGCCCCCTGCGCGCCCGGTACGAGCTCCGCGGCATCCTGCATCACCTCGGGCGGCACGCCTTCGCGGGGCACTACGTCACCGACGTCCGCGAGGAACGGAGTGGCGGCGACGGCGGCGGCGGTGAGGGTGGGGTAGTTAAGGCCGCCGGGAGTCAGGGCGGAAAGACGGAGCGCGAGGGCGGAGGAGGGAGGGGTTGGAGCCGGTACGACGACAGCGTGGTTTCTCCTGTGACGGAGGCGGAGGCCCTCGGCGGGGAGGCGCAGCGGACGTGCTACCTCTGCTTCTACTCTCTTGTCGTGGCGGACGCCGAGTAGACGATGTTTGCGACGGCCCCTCCGTCTGTGTCCCTTGACGGGTAGATGATATTCACGCCGACGGTCCCCCCCCCCTTGTCGTCGGACGCGGTGTCTCCGGGCCATGGTCGTGGAACTTGGCCCTCCAGCTCGGTTGGTGTCCTGCTCGCCGTCGGACCGGGTCGCTCTTGCTTGGATGCGTGTGTGTCGTTTCACCTTCTTGGTGGCGGAACTGGACGGTATCATGAAGTTGCTCTGTTGTCCCGTTTGTTGGTTGTACGGTAGGGGGGGGGGGCAGAGTACCATTGACGGACACAACCCCCCGGGATGGAGGAGTTGGCAAGAAACTTGCAACAACGGGGCGCACGCACGTAAACTACACAGGGAACGCAGGACGAAGATATACCGTGGTTATGCACTTCTACTTGATGCAAAAATCGAGTCCAAACTGTTGGTGCAGAGTATGGCACATACGGCAGATGAACCTAAAAAACGAGTTTCGAGTTCTGGTTCTGTTGGGTTTTGGGATAGGAAATATGCCCCGTTTCATCGCGGTTTGTATGTATATCCATCTGGGCAGAGTGACGGACGAAGCAAGGGTAAGCTCCACCCCGACCGGCGTGTGTGCCCATGTACAGTTTTTCGGATGAAACACGCCGGGCACGGGGATCTCTTTGGTTTTGAATCCCCGCGGGTTTCGATGACTGGCAGCCCCCGCCGGCTCGCGTTATATTTTTTCGTTGTTTCGCAAGGGCGCATGTAAAACCAAAATCCTTGATGTCCTCGCATTGCATGCTTGCAGTGTTTTGGTCTTTGAATTGTCCAGCGCCATCAATTTACTATTTGAGTCTTGATCATTTATCCGCCGTGTGTTGTTGATGGTGTGAGTGCGTGCTCGTGTGCCTGTGTCATGGGTGTAGAGGACGTGCGGCGTGGGGGGTGTCCGGTGAAGCGTAGCCGCGTCCGTCCATTATCCATGCGGCCTCCCGGATCGAACGGTAGCTCCGTAGCATGAAAGACAAGACCATGCGGTGTGTCGCCGTGGTCGGGTCACGCCGGCAGCAGATGCGACGGTGGTTATCTGCATAAAACAAAATGGAGGCCCTGGTGTGCGATGGTTCGTCCCCGTTCAGCATATGTAGCCGGCAAAAGGAGGGATCCACTCCAAATTTCTGACTCGCCGTAGTGGAGTGTGACAAGCTGTCTGGTATCGGGAATACTCGGTGTCTTGTTTTTCGATTGTACCCCGCTTTTCTGCCATGTTCCCTCCTTTTGGGAATAAATGTAGATACGGCAGAAGGGTTGTTTGACCCCTGTCTTGATCTCACTTCCCGGAGTTGAAGTTGAAGTAGTCGGGCAGACTTGACTTGCACAGGACTGTGGCAAGGTCCAGTCGCCGGGGAGGAGGCGGTTGGACGGGGGCGGGCTCCGAATGGATGCGGGATGCAGGGGTGGGTTGGTCGGCGAATGGGTATATATTCGGCAAAAAACAAGATTTCCCTTGAAGAAGGGTTTCATTTGACGCTAGGGCGAACTCGCTGTCGCTCGCGGCGTTGTATTGTCGGATGTGTGGAAATTGTATCTGAGAGCACGGCCGGACGTCGCTCTTGCATCATGAAAAAGGGTAAAACTCGCCGTCACCACCAGGCCATCCGTGCGTTTCTGCGACTACACATGGATCAATGTTTCACGAAGAAAGCGACTGACTTGTTTGGCTTTTACTGCTGTAGTTTTTCCCTCGTTCGTTACTGGTATGTGCAGCGGCTGCCCACCATTTATGTCCGTTATGTATGGCGATCGATCGCTCGTTGGTGTCGTGCTGTTCTCTCTGAACAGTTGTCACTTGGAATTCGTTGGTGTTGTCTTGAAAACGTCAAGCCTCTGCTCCGTATCTTCTATCGTACGAAGTGACCGATGGTCTTGCTGACTGGCGAAGACGCCTCCGTGCCCCTACCACCCAAACGGGGATGCAAGACATGGAACGTCAGACACAACAAGTTCGACAAAAAGGCGACACAGTTAGAAAACCAGATGTCGCAGCAGCTGTCACATGTCTGACAACGGAGGTCGACACAGACAAGAGATCGTTCACAGAGCCTACCGCTCCCACTCGACACGCAAGGCCGAGCAAATCAACATCAGTTTTATCAGGTCCAGCAGTTTCCTCCATGTCATGGTTTAAGTCTAAGTCTAGACAAACGAATTTGGACTACTCTTGTATGACAATGACTACTCGAATGATCTTTCTACGCCGGCTCCCCACCACAAGGCACCCAGCCGCAGAATATCAGATACTGTCTGCTAGCAATACGCATTCGCATACCAGAGAAGGCACAATACACCAGCGTAAACAACGAGATTCACCTGTTGGACTACGTAGTCGCAAGGAATACACTTATGAATTGTATTGTCGTGTCAAGACAATAACAACAACAACTACCATCACCGGTAATTTTACACCCGTACGCCAATTTCCTCCCATCGCCTTCTCGGTCGCCCCCACTTCTTTCAGGCCACTTCGGTGTGGGCATGCCTTGGCGAGGGTCCGTCACATACGTGTTTTAGGGGATGTTCTGGGACGTATCTGCGTTGCTTTTCCCCCCTTCAACCCCTAGACCCCCTCCTCTCTCTCCCCCCCTCCCTCCTCTGCTTCTGCTTCGGCCAATCACCAAACACCAAACAGACCATGTGGCCATCACACCTCTGAAGCGGAGACCCCGTTCTTTAGGCCTAGCGTCCGAGCGTACGCCCTTAGAAGCGATGTAATTTTCGTGGATTGGAAGTGCCGCTGACACCGGTCTTACGGGCATGGACTAGTCGGTGTTCGCATTCCTCGGCGGTTGTTACTGAGAAGTAAGCTCAGACTTGCAAGGAGGAATGAAAAGTTCTTTTAAGCAAGTATCCGTGCGACCAGCTGACTACCGTAGAGGCGAACGTTTTTGCCCATAGTCTTGAGGCCAACACACCACTTGAGGGAAACCTAATATGGTATGTGCCTATCTCACGCTTGTCTACATTACACACCTAGCCAAGGTTCGCATTTTGATATCAAGCTGAACCTTCGCTTGTGAATGGCCCGATCGTAACCACGCGCCCACCGAGAAATGTAGCGATAGCTGTTCGAGTCAACAATCAGCGGAATGCGCGAGTCCCAAACGCCATGGTTGTCTAGGGCCCAAATCAAGAGTTCCTGGTGCCAGCGCTCGGCTGCCTTCATGGTGGTTTGGGCATCCCCAGGACCACCGTTTCCGCGCAGCCGTTGCAGAACCTTGAGGTGCCCTCGTCTGGCCGCGATCGAACAAGAGCGTGTATCCCACGGGTAGCCGTTCGCTCGTGCCCAACGCAAAACCTGAAGGTTCGCTCCCCAGGCAGCCCCCACAAACGTGTTGCTGTCCCACCCGCACCCGTTTTCAATAGCCCATTTCAACACGTTTAGGTGCCCGCCCTGTGCTGCAAGGTCACACGTTCGCTTGTCCCATCGACATCCATTCCTCTTCCCCCACTTCACGATGTCAAGGTGGCCGCCCCGTGCAGCCCCAGTGCATGGACCCCCCCCGTCCACACGTTCCATGATCCATACAGATCCCAAGACAGTTTCGTTCCCGGAGCCACTGAAGCATGACCATATCTCCCCTTCGCGCGGTCCAGAAACAGCAGTCACTGTCAAATGTACATCCATTTATTCGTGCCCAAACAAGGACTTCGAAGTGTCCGCCACGTGCGGCCGATGCGCATGTGGATGAATCCCAAGGGCATCCGCGTTTCCGAAGCCACTTCAGGACGTGAAGAAACCCGCCTCGGGCAGCACCGGCGCACGCCCCTTCGTGCACACGTTCGAGCCCGTCAACCACCCGAACCGGTTTGACCTCACCCATTTCAGGACCTTGAGGTGACCCCCCATGGCAGCCTGCCGGCATGTATTTGCATCCCAGCCGCAGCCCTGTGCTCGAAGGCTCTTGACGATCCCAAGGTGTCCCCCCCCGGCGGCCTGAGCACACGTTGCTGGGGTCCCCCCGCCACGATTGGCTTTTGCGAACTCAAGGACGCCCGGTTTCCCCAAAAGAGCAGAGGCGCTGCAGACCCTAATTTTCCGGACGTCGAAGGGTAGGCCGACCTCCAGGCACTGCGCGAGCTGCCTGATGGACGAATCGGCCCCCATGGGTCGGGTTCGCGTGGCTCGTGGCCCCCACGCGCGCCTGAAGGCCTCTCGACGCTAGAGCGATGCGGCGGTGGCGACGGAACGACGTGCAGGGGGGGGGGGCGTACTCTTATGTTTTGCATGCCTTAGCGGTTAGACCATTGACCACGCGTCCTAGAGAGGACAGAGCATTGTTCCCACAGGACCGATCACCGATGGCCAATCGTTCCTTTCTACTTTGCCAAAGGTGGCTCAAAAATGTCGTCCCTACTCTGCCTATCCCAACGATATCCCTTCCCGCCTCGTCAACCTACCTCCTATGCCCCAGTACAGCTACCGTCCTTTCCTCTCTATTCCATGCCTCAAACATCTCCTTGTACCTCCCATCTATTTTTCCCAGCTCAGTCACGTACACTTCCCTCTCCTTGTACAACGGACATTCCACGACTACATGAACACGGTCTTGCATTCGAAGCCGCAATCACATTTGAACTCGTCGTCTTCGTCGTCTACCGTCCTATGTCTTCGTCGACGTTCTCGAAGGCCTATGTCCCCGGTCCTGAATTTGACCTTAAGCTTTGTTCCTGCATCCATTGGTCCATGTAGGTAATCCTTGAACCCTGTTCTTTCCANTCCGTGGGTTGCCTACCCCTCTTTTTGTTCACCCACTTCGCCTCCCATACGATTCTCGGCAACCTCTCCTCTCCCATCCCGCACATGCGATACTGCCAGGTCAGCTTCCTCGCGTCTCTTCCCGACCGTAGGGATTGGATCCCCAATTCTGCCCTCACGGCTGCATTACTTGTGCGCCTGGAGCATCCTAGGATGGTTTTCGCTGCTTTCATCTGCGCCGCCTCGAGTTCTTTCACTACCTTCTTATTTCCTTCCCATACTTCTCCGGCGTACTCTAGCGGCGGTACGATTACGCTCTTCAAAATAGTCAACTTGATGCGTGTATCGAGG